AAGAAATATGGTCAGAATGAATCTCAAGGGAGAGACAGAGCTTATATACCCCGCAGCAGCCGCTATGAGTCATGGTGGGAAAACCCGAGAAGTAGCAGGTGAATAGTTTCGTTGCTAAGATACGGTAACATCTGGGGACAGCTCTCGCCTGGTTGCTAGGGGAGGCGGCACATTGGAATGCGGATACGCTTGGGGGTGGGCTGCTACGCAGTTGTAGTGGAAAATTCCACTACAAGCCTATCCCAACCTATTAATCAGTTCGTCCAATATTGGAAGCGATTTGGATAACAAACCACACACACACACACACACACACACACACACACACATATATATATATATATATATATATATATATATATATATATATATATATATATATATATATATATATATATATATATATATATATATATATATATATATATATATATATATATATATATATCACCTGAAGAATCATCTACCCCGAGTGTCCACCTGAAGAATCGTCACCCCAGGTTGTCCCACCGGAAGAATCATCACCCAAGCCAGCTCCACCAGAAGAAGCATCATCCCACTCTATAATGAATATAAGCTAAACTAAGCTACACAAACCTTGAAGATTATTCACACCTTTTTGCCCATTTAAAATGATCTCACCTGAAGGTTATCCACACCATTTTGCTTTACTGACCTGAACCTCACTTGGAGAATCGTCACCCCAGGTTGTCCCAACTGAAGATTTATCTCCCTGTCTAACTATGGGGAGACGATTCTTCAGGTGAGGTTAAGGTCAGTAAAGCAAAATGGTGTGGATAACCTCCAGATTTACCAACAAGGCTAAAATATACCGTAAAGGAGAGGTAGATCAAGTCCTTTACTGTAAATTATTATTTATTAGTAACTACTCAGTCTGTACTCACCCCTGAAGATGTGAATTACACGAAAGCGCTTGGGAACTTCGTGTTTTTTCTTATGTGGTTATCAGCATATATATATATATATATATATATATATATATATATATATATATATATATATATATATATATATATATATATATATATATATATATATATATATATATATATATATATATATATATATATATATATATATATATATATATATATATATATATATATATATATATATATATATATATATATATATATATATATATATATATATATATATATATATATATACACACACACAGAGAGAGTGAGTCTCAAGCCATGAAAGAATCAGAATCTAACGTTTTAACGGTTTCACAAGGCACATATTGTGTTCTTATATTTAGTATTAACATTCTTTACCTTAACCCCCCCCCCCTCTCCACTATGTGTTGCGATCAGAACTACCTTTGCTGTTATAGTGTAACTATTATAGGTTGTGTTGGGTAGGAAATTCTAGTGTCTTAGTAATGGTTCCATTAATAGGTGAAATTGGGTGATTGTTGGTCACAGCATTCAGAACATTCAAGACGATATTTATTGACATTTTTGCTGTTCTGAGCGTTACCTTATTTACATAACACATACCATGAACATATACTGTACCTATCTGAACCTGTTACACAAAAGAAGCCTTAACCTGTTAACCTCCTGCTCAAATATGTCTGTAACTTTTTTATTAGGAATAGCTCACCCGAATCCAGACCTGTCTGAACCTGTAGCCCAGACCTGTCTGAACCTGTAGCCCAGACCTGTCTGAACCTGTAGCCCAGACCTGTCTGAACCTGTAGATCAGACCTGCCTGAACCTAAAGCCCAGACCTGTCGGAACCTGTAGTCCAGACTTGTCTGAACCTGTAGCCCAGATCTATTATAGCCAGTAGCCGAGACCTGTCTGAACCTGTAGCTGAGACATGTCTGAACCTATAGCCAAGACCTGTCTGAACCTGTAGCCGAGACCTGTTTGAACCTGTGGCCCAGACCTGTCTGAACCTGTAGCCCAGACCTGTTTGAACCTGGAATCCAGATGTGACTGAACAGCTCAGGCTTGTCTGATCCTGTAGCTCAAACATGACTGAACCTGCAGCTCAGACTGGTCTGAGCCTGTAGTCCAGATGTCAGAACCTGTAGCCCTGACTGGTCTGAGCCTATAAGTCAGACCTGTCCAGTGGCGTAGCTAGAGTGTGTGCCGCCCGGGGCAGCCCTTGAGTTTGCCGCCCCCCCACCATTGACCCTACAAAAATACATATTGCACAGTGACTCACTCTTTTATATATATATATATATATATATATATATATATATATATATATATATATATATATATATATATATATATATATATATATATATATATATATATATATATTAAATAGTTTGCCTTACTGTTGTCAGACAAAAGCCACCCCGATCAAAGTAGGGGGCTTTCTGGGTCTGGGGGGGCTTTTGTCTGGGTGGCTTTTGTCGGGGGGGCTTTTGTCTGGGGGGCTTGTCTGGGGGGCTTTTGTCTGGGTGGCTTTCGTCTGGGGGGCTTTTGTCTGGGTGGCTTTTGTCGGGGGGCTTTTGTCTGTACCCCAGTGAGGATAGTGTCTTAGTATAAAATCGCAATGCTGTGAAACAAAATCTTAATATTTAATCTCAGTACCGCAGCAAAAGTCACATCAATATTTTTTAACCAATACTTTAATATTTCTTACCTTATAGTATTATGTCTTCCAACGAAGTAAATAACTGGATCGAAAACACAAGAGAACTTAAAAGTCGTCTAGCCTCCCCTCGTCTTGTCACGATGGAGACTTGTGCAGAACTGAAGTGAATTGCTTGTAACTGGTGGATTGGTCGGCTGTACATGAACTGATATGACCCGAGACTGCATGGTTTTGCAGCTACTGGAGACGTTAATTCTTCCCTTTGTATCGGCGGCAAGTTAATCCTCGTCGTGTCTGACCTAACACCTGACCCACACCACATGAGCTCACTGGCGTACTTGTTTGAAGTTGTTTCCTTAATCCTCAACAGGTTACAGGTTGTGTGTGTGGCGGGGGGGGGCGCATAGCAAGGGTGCAGCTCATGACGTGGCCGTGATGATGTGGGTCAGGTGTTAGGTCAGACACGACAAGGATTAACTTGCCGCCGATACAAAGGGAAGGATTAACGTCTCCAGTAGCTGCAGATATGGGTGATGAGCAGACCCAAAAGTGCCGCCCGGGGCGGACCGCCCCCCCCGCCCCCCCCTAGCTACGCTAGTGGACCTGTCTGAACCTATGCTGCAAACATGCTCTGTCTGAACCTGTAGTGTGTAGATAATCCAGGCACAAGTATATCAAATTTAATCTCTACATGATTCCTTCAATTGATTTCTACAGGTATAACATGTCCCACTATTGCAGAGGTTCCCAAACTGGCGTCTGCGACAAGATGAAAGAAAGTAGGTTATTGTGAAAATACTGTAGTGAACTATGTAAAAACACACCCCCTGAAACACAGACTGTTTGAAACACTTTGCCATGAAATGGGTGCTGAATTTGAGGGCTTGCTGCTCCACTCTGAAGTGCACTGGTTATCATGTGGGGCAATTTTGAATCGTGTGTTTGCCATACGAAGAGAGCTGGCCGACTTTCATCGGAGAAGTCAGACCCTGGTAGCTGTTTCGAGGCCAAGTCATGGATGATGAAGTTAGCATATCTAGCAGACGTCTTCCAGTAACTAAATGTACTATACCAAAGCATGCAAGACCGTGAAGTATGCATTTTGAATGTGCAGAACAAAGTATGTGCATTCAGGCAAAAAGTTTTCCTGTGGGAAAGCAAACTCCAGGAAGGAGTCACTGAAATGGTCCCACTTTATCACCAGGAATGTATGACGTCCAGTGCAGACAGCATCACACCCCTTATTATTTCCCATCTAGCGCATCTGCAAGGCTACTTCAGGGACTATTTCCCTGACCTTGACAACTCCCACCTGAACTGGATTAGAGACCATTTTGCAGCCAGGGTAGGTGCACATCTTGATCTTAAGTCGCAAGAGGAACTCATTGAAATGTCAAAAGAAGGGGCTATGAAAATCAAGTTCTCTGCCCTTCCACTGCCAGAGTTCTGGATCTATGCAAGAAAGGAATATCTTGCCCTGGCTGAGAAGGTTCTGAAATACCTTTTGCCATAACCTACTTGTATGAGACATGATTTTCGACACTCAAAATACTGAAAACCAAGCACTGAGCACGCCTGCAGGTGAACAACGACGTGTGTCTGGCACTCACTAATATCAAGCCCCGCATTGACAAATTATGCAAGAGCCACCAAGCCCATCCATCCCACTAGACAAGATATGCCTGATTTGTTTAGTTATGCACTTTGATATGAAGGTAATTTTTTTTATTTTGGTTTCTGGTGGTGCCACAATATTGTTCGTGTTTGTACAGTATTTACATTACTTTGAATTTAAAACACCAATAAAAAAACATTGAAAAGGAAAATGGTCTTATTAATTACTAATTACTTCAAGTAAGAATAAGTAAATATTACATGTACAGGGTGGATAATTATTTATTTTTTTAGTTGGGGGTCCTCGACTGGGGTTCATCATATTTGGGGGTCCTTGATATGAAAAAGTTTAGGAACCCCTGCACTATTGAGTCTTTAAATTGCTTCTGAATTCTCTCCCAGGTTCTGCAAAATATGACCCACATTTCATTCAGTAATCCATATGAGTCAACAAATTACCTTTACCAGCTGATGCCTTCCCTTAAACCTTTGTTATCTCTGCAAGTTTCTCTATTGGACACCTGTAGTGCATTTCAGTTTGCACAGGATGCAAGGAAGAGCCCAATTAACTAACCTGAGAAGGAAATCCAAAATCTTTTGTTATTCATTATTGGGAAAGTCTATCTTAAATGTAAGACCTCTAAAGTCAGGCTGTGTGGATTTTGTGGAACAGTTGCTTGTCCCAGGCATGTGACTTTTTAAATTTACTTGCCAGGATATCTTTTTTACTTGCCCCTGACAAATTTTTGGAGGAAATTTACTTGCTGGGATTTTTGTACGGGAAAAGTTAAATAAACAACTTGAAACATTAAATTTAATGTGTATCAACTCACAATAAATGGCTTAATGTGATGTGAAAACTCTGTCACTTCCCCTCACACCTGCAGGGTGTGATCATCTACTCTTATTACCTCCCCTCCATAATCTGGTGTCAGTGACAGTAACACTCGTCATGTGAAGTCATAACTCCTGTCACCTCATGTCTACAACCTCTCGACTTGGTGGTTCCTTTGGAATGTTGAGAACTTGACACCAACTGGTTACAGCTTAATGTCGAGATAAATTGCCTGCACCTGACATGAATCATTAATCCTGGTACACTGCTGACAAGCAGCCTGTTGATAGACCTCCCTGGGTAAACATGTGCAGTGAGGTGGGTTCACTCAGCACCTGACAAATTCTCATCTAGGTACTGTATTTTCCTCTCAAACTATTAGGTTACATGGCCCCTATTTTGGGCATGCCTGGGTTGCTGGGCACTGATAACTTGCACAGCCTATCTAAGGTGCTTAAGATCTTGTACAATGTCTCAGCAGCATCAATGGAAAGGATGGTAGAACTCAGGCAAACTGACAAGTATGGTAGTGTTTCATCATTCATCAATGAGCTAAATGCAGCACAGCACTCAGCAGTGTATAGAGAATGAACATCAGCAATATCAATGGGGAAAAATAGAGGCAACCAAACCCTCTGTATACAAAACATATTGAGCTTATATGTCATTAAGGTGGTAACAAACACTAGTCCAGATTAACAAATCACTTCTCAAAGGCCAATGGGAAACAAGTGAATGTCAAAGAATTTTCACTATCTGGACCCATGTTAGTTTTTCAAATAATTACATTCAACATGGGCAGTAATGAAACTTTAATTACACCCTGAGATTTTATTTATTTATTATAAAGATTTCCAAAACAACTTTTTAAAATCATATCTACAATATCACAGATAGTTCTGGAATTTAATGATTTATATTCATACCAACAATCAAGAGCATCTCATACAACAAGTTCTTAGCTGCCCTGGCTATAAAATTTCCTTTTCACAATTACATTAATACTGTATGTGCGTTTAAGTTACAATAAGAAACAATCGAGAGTGAACCTGTAAAACTGACATAAAATTAAGGCAAGCTGTATCTCACCACAAGTACTGTAGTCTACAAATTAAGTTCCAGCTTAACTCATATCAGATAATACTATCACTTACCAACTTTTTAAACTGCCACTGAATACTCTTATTATATGCTGATGTTAGCCAGAGTATTTAATTACAAAATATAATTAATGAAGCTACAGATTAGCTACTTTGCATCAGGTCTTTAAAAGTTTGTTTACAATTATTTTGGGAAGTCAAAACATATTAACATTTGCCAGAATAAGCAGTGGTGAGGTTTTTACATAAAAAACAACAATTATGAATTAAAAACCTCATGCATGAATTGTGACCAAAATTCTATCAAGACATTAAAAGTCATATTCTATAAATATACCATACAAATAACCATATACACACTGTGTCTAGGCCTGACCTGCCACCATACATGAACCATCACGAGGTCTGGCATATCATCATACATATGCCATGATTAGGCATGATATATTACCATATACCTACATGTTCCATTTGCTGGCCAACCTCATCTATGTAACTAAAGATGCATGTTATTGTCTAGCTTCAATCATATCACCCAACACATATGTACCAGAGCCAGGATTACAAGTAATAAATAACATAAACTTATATGTAATGTGGTGCGTGGCAAACACAATATGACTAGCATGAATCCACCTCAGAAAACATGCATTATGACCAAGGTTAATCTAAGTTAATAAAAAATATGTTATAACCAAGAATAATTTGTCTTTTGACATACATCATCATGGCCAGGGTTAAATTTTATTAAATTTTTTTGGTCATGGCAAGGAATAACTGATACATTACCATCAAGTATGTCATGGTTAAGTGAAATTCATGTCATCAAACACATATGTATGGTGGCTTATATTAACACAGGAAGATATGTGGCTAAGAACACATTAAAATTGACGATGAGGCAGCAGAATGGAGAACTATGTCATGAAAGCAACTTAGAGTTGATTATATGAGGAGCCTTATAAACACATCTATTCATTGATATCAAACACACCATTCCTATTGCATGGAAAGTTGACTCAAATGGAATAAACTTTGCCTCTTGTCCATAAAGTAGGGCACTGATTCTTCTGTCAGCCTACCATCATCCGTATGACTCTACATGGGCAACAGAATTATGGTCAGCCCAACAACCACTTATTAAATTCTTCTGCATGGCAAAAGTGAACAAGACAGGCCACTTACTAAATAAAAAAATTATGTACCATAATTATTGCTGTCCTTAGGCAAGTTCATTAATCACTTAAATTATTCAGGTAATCAATCAGTTTATCTTCAGTGATATGTAATAGCTGTACCAAACCTAATAATTCACAGGTTTCATGAAGTACAGAAGCAGATCAACAAAAAAACTGTATCATCCATAAGTATGGAATATCTTTCCCACATTCAATGAACAAAGAGTACCTTTTCATTGTGCATTATTAATACATGTAGTTTCTATTGGCGTTCCCAATCCATAATCAGTAAAAATATCAAATTCTGGCCGAGCATTAGTGAGAGCACTGAGGACATGATGTAGAGTAATCTCCTGAGGAGGGACTAAAGTAGAATCTGTGGTGGGATGGAGAGTATCTCCCCAAGCTTCACAATGGGATGATCGTAACAGGTCTTCCATTAGGCATAGCATCGCCTGTTGGAAGAAACATATGTCCTTCACTAGTTGAATGAATGACAAGCAGGGTTTATCACATTCAACTTGGGCAAAAATAAAACATGAGTTCTGACTTATATGGCAAAATACACTTATCTATAAAGTGTTTGTTTTCAAAGTTGCACAGTCATCTTTGAACAAAGCTGTAGATATTAATAAACAACAAAAATAAAAGGTTAAAAAAAATATAAAAAAAGGGATTAAATATTGAAAATACATTGAATACAGTATATAATTCTCAGACCACCTGCACACCTCTATTTGCTGGTGATCATTTCTATCACATGTGGGATTGATGAGCAATTACCTATTGGTGTCACAATAAGCATTTGGGTTCATAAATATACCTATTACTTATAAGAACTATCTGTGACCTTAAAAATAACAAAAGTTGAATTTTCCACCTAAATGAATTGGTCAGACACAACTCTATCTCATACACACCCATAGACAGACAGACAGACACACACACACACACACACACACACACACACACACACACACAACCACTGCTACTATTTTGTTTTCACTCGGAATCGAGTTTGACAATCATCCAGTTATGATATACAGTCGACCCTCGTTAATTCGGACTAATAGGGGGATGTCCGTTTTAGCCGATTGTCCGAATTAACCGATTTAGGGGTTAATATTGCATTATATTTCAAAGTCATTGTTTTCGTCACAATTTTATCCCACTTTCCACTGTAATACATACGTAATTTCAGCAAAAATATTACATTTCCGTGAATGTATTATATCAAGCACAGTATGAATAGAATATCATTGTAATATAACAGTATTTTAACCGAAAACTAGTGAAAAAATGAATAACATCTCAAGAACATTGGAAGCTTAGGTAAAGTCTTTTGATTTCGTCAAGTATTTTATCCTATTTTACATTGAAATACATCACGTCTCAGCAAAACTACTATTTATTTCCGAGAATATATTCATTCAGGCGCAGTTTAGGTAAAATATACGTGTGATGTAACAGTGTTTTAACTGAAAACGATTCGAAAAACACGTACCCTCTAGCCCTGTTCAAGGAGAGGACTGGGAGAAGCTGTTTGGTGCTGCAGACGATGACAAGGAAAATGATTTGGATGGATTTTAATGAAAATATTCAGAAATATGGTATCGTAGTATTTATTCAAGTCAATTAGGATAGAATATTATTGTAATACAACAGTTTTTTAACTGAAAACCAATCGAAAAGCGATTACGGTAACATCTTTTGAACGAAAGAAAGCGAAAGTCATTGTTTTCGTCACAATTTTATCCCACTTTCCACTGTAATACGTACGTCATTGCAGCAAAAATATTACATTTCCGTGAATGCATTATATCAAGCGCAGTGTGAATTGAATACAGTCAACCCTCGCTTTACGCGGTCCCACTTTACGCATTTCCACGTTTACGCGGCACCCTGCCGAAACCGGAATGCTTTCCGCGGTGTGTGTACCCTTTTACGCGGAGAGCGGCGCGAGCAGGGTGCGCACAAGGTCGCCCAGTCATCAAAACATTACCGAGTTCTTCACCCGCCACCCACCACAGCCGGCCCAAGTCAGTGATAGTGATAATTATAGTGAGGATATGGACTTATATGGACTTTGGGGGTTTGACAAAGAGGCCCTGCAAGCCTCTGTGGTGGATAGTGATACAATTGATACAAGTGATACAGGTGAGGGCCAATAATCTGCCCTCTGCCTCGGAACCAACCCCCCATCCCCGTGTGCCCAGCCATCTTTTCTACTAATGTAAGTGTTAAAAAACCTAATATTATTGATATTTCTCTTAATTATTAATTGTGTGTGCATACCATCATAAAATTAAGAAGTTATTTTTACTACAACGTAGGTATTGTGTCTGAAAAAGCGGAGTTTGGGGGTCGGCCCGGTCTCTATTTCAATTAATCCCATATGTTATGTTGTTCACTTTACGCGTTTCTCACTTTACGCGGGCCACCGTGGGTTGAATTAACCGCGTAAAGTGAGGGTTCACTGTACCATTGTAATATAACAGTATTTTAACAAAAAACTATTAAAAAAAACGAGTAACTTCTCTTGAACATCGGAAGGTTAGGCAAAATCTTTTGTTTTCGTCATGTGTTTTATCCTCTTTTACATTAAAATACATCACGTTTCAGCAAAACTACTATTTATTTCCGAGAATATATTCATTCAGGCACAGCTAAGGTAAAATATACATGTGATGTAACAGTTTTTTAACTGAAAATGATTCAAAAAACACGTGTACCGTCTAGCTGATTGATACTCAACAGCTGGTGGCGCGTCATGCGTCGTTGTAAACAATAGGAGGTTGAAGTAGATTACCGGGTATTATATTAAGTGTGAAATATCGAAAAGGTTTTTATTACTGGTATTTTTTGTAGATCAATGAGAACTGTGATACCGTATATGATATGATAAGTTAGCCTGTGCTAAGAACTTCAACATAGGCTACTGAAAACATGTTGTTAGGTAATTTAGCCTATTGTAAGTTGGTGAGCTTCATTTGCTGAAGGAACTGCACAACTTTTCATTACTAAATGGTACATATTTTGTTTCCATTGTTAACTGGCAGTAAATGGTAAATATTTTTCATGTCTGAAGCTAACAGTTGCACCCCCACTAATGGTGATGTTACATTTAACCAAAAGACGCTGGTGTTTTATCCCAGCAGGGGTGAACCAGCATTTTAGCTTAAGGTCCGCATAGGTAATATTCCTATAAATCTATTAAAAAAAAAAGTTCAGATTTTGTCCGAATTATCCGAAATCCGGATTAAAGGGGTCCGAATTAACGAGGGTCGACTGTACTGTACTGTAACGATATAAGTTATTGTTATAAGTTATTGAGGATATAACCTTCTGAGATGACTCGAGTGACTGATACAGGACCAGCAGGGTCAACCACAGATGTTGCACGTGTAGAGGGCTACATCTAGTGCGGGTTGGGCGGCGGCAGCGTCTTTCCAGCATTGGCGCTTGTCTGTCTTGGTATGCACTTGAGCTAACTCGAAAGTACTGACACATTCTCGTGTGATGCTCCTCCAAGCGTTAAGGTGTGGAGTGATCGTCTCCCAGGTGAGGGGGTTAATTTGGCACTTTTTCAGGTTTGTCTTAAGACTATCCTTGTACCTTTTCAGTTCCCTGCCAGCATTATGTTTACTATTCGTTAGGTGACTGTAAAGTAGCTGCTTTGGCAATCTACTGTCATCCAAGCGTGTAACATTGCCAGTCCAATGTACTGTAGTTGTTCATGGATAATGGTAGCCTTGATACTCCTACAGTTGGTGTCAGCGAGAATACTAGCGTTTGTTATCTTGTCTTCCCAACGAACTAGGAGGATGGAACATAGATTATGTTGGTGAAAGTTTTCAAGTGCCTTGAGGTACCTCCTGTATGTGACCCATGTCTTGCTGCCAGATAGCAGGGTGGGGAGGACCACTGCTTGATACACGTGCAGCTTTGTAGATAATTTCACCTCGCTACAGCTGAAGACATGGGTACGGAGTCATGTAGTCTGCTACAGGCTTCAGATGCACTGCATATCTAATCTGATGTTGAATCTCTTCATTGATGTCCGCGGTGGTGGACAGGTGGGAGCCAAGGTACTGGAAGTGGTTAACATTAGAAAGAGTACTACGGTTAAGCTGGGTGGATGGTGGAGGTGTGGTTGAACCAGGGGCAAGCTGAAAGAGAATCTGATTTTTATGTGTAATCACTTCAAGGCCGAAGTGTGCATTCTCATCTGCAGGATCTCCTGTAGGTCACATTCAGTGTGAACAACGAGTGTGAGGTTGTCTGCATACTGAAGTTCAGTAATTTGTTCCTGCCTGGAGTCGTCTTATGTTGAAAAATCCCTTCATCCGGTACTGGATGTCCACCCCACAGGCTACATTGGCACTAGCACGAGTAAGGAAGGCAGGCAAGAAAATGGAAGAGAGAGTTGGTGCCAGTACACATCCTTGTTTTACCCCCGTTTGGATGGGGAAGAACTCAGACTGGATGCCATTGTGCAAGGCACTGCCGTTCATGCCATCGTGGAAGTGCCTCACAATGGCCAAAATGACTGAGGGTCCACCAGAGGGCTTCCCTGTTGACCGAATCAAATGCCTTAGTAAGGTCAATGAAGTCCATGTTTAAGTCACAGCGTTGTTCTCTGCACTTTTCCTGTATCTGGAGGGCAACAAATATCATGTCAGTGGTGCCACGTGATGGTCTAAAGCCACATTGAGATTCTGGGAGGAAGTTTTCCGCCTCAGGAAGAAGTCTGTTTCGGAAGACTCGGGAGATAATCTTGCCAGCTACGGACAGCAGTGAGATCCCGCGGTAGTTACCACAGTCTGACCGGTCTCTCTTATTCTTATAAATATTTTTGATCAAGGTGTCTTTAAGATCTTAAGAGGATTTCTTCCTTCTCCTATATATTATCCAGGAATGAGTAGAGACGGCTGGTAAGCAGAGGACCTCCTGCTTTATACACTTCGAATGGGATTCCATCAGGCCCTGTGGCTTTGTTATTTTTCATCTGCTTGATGGCAGTAGCTACCTCATCCAGGGATGGAGGATAGCTAAGGTGGGTCAGTTCTGGGTACTGAGGAACCTGCTGGGTAGTCAGGACATCCACATCGGTGTTTTGGTTGAGCAGTGAATGGTAGTGTTCTTTTCAGCGCTGATGGAGTTACCGTCGGATGAGCGTAGGGGGCCACACCATGAGTAGTTGGACCAAAAGTTTTTTGGGCGGAATTTTTCAACCATCAGTTCTTTAGATTACAAAGTTCGCGCTGGGCTGCTGCTTTCTTTTTGTGGAAGGTATCAGCTTTGATCCGAGACTGAGGGTTGTTCTACCAGTCAGTTACGGCAGCACATTCATCATCGATTAGTACGTTGATTTCCGGGTTATTTTCGTCAAACCAATCTTGGTGTTTTCTTTTGATCAGGCCAAGTGTCTCATTGCAGGTTTTTGTGATGACAG